AAAGGTCCATTCTGCCTGTCCACTGCCTTTAAGGCTAGATTTGTACCAGTAGGCACCTGGTGGACGATTTTGAATCTGAAGTGTATCAAGGCGGTTATGGTAGAGCACGGCACCTCTCTCAGTTTGATCTGCTCTAGATAATGCCGCGCTATACAGAGAACGGCCTGCTCCAATTGAAATACAAAATTGCCCGACATGTGCTTACTGGAATGGGGACGACTACGCTAGAAGCTTCTTTACCTGATGGATCCTGATTCTGTTGCCATTTCGGAATCCACCTTCGCACTGTCTTAGCAGCATTGTCACTAGGGAACAACTCATGGAATGTCTTTCTCATGTAGAAGGCTTCCTTGCTTGCTGGTGTGTTGTGAGGAAATAGCTCAGCTGCTTTGGAAAACTGAAAGATATGCACTAAGCTGCCCTCAGCAAACTTTTTGATGGCAAAGCTATACAAAAGCTCACCTCTTCATCAGATATCTGTTTCTCGCAGTACGCCATCAACTCATCTATCCAAGAATAGCCTACACCATCTGAGAATTGCTCCTTTTGCCTCCAGAGTATCTCATGCGGAAGATATGTCTATAATGGAATGAATGAGTTTTTCGTTTTGTATAACAGTTTCCATCTATTTCCTCATTTCGAAGTCTCTCTTCCTAGAATTTTTCTAAGAAACGAGATTTTACATTTTTCGAAAAGTCCACATACCATAATCTCATGAGTTGAAATTTTCAGACTCAAACGCCCTTGTAGGGTCTATTGCAAGAAGAAGGCGGATGGTTACTTAAGCTAAGCCGCACGAACGCGACGCGTGGGAAGGGGGCGAGCGTTATCGCTTGAGCAATTCAGCCGCCCAGAAATGGTAAAATGGCGCTCCTTCGTTAATGATTTTAAGCATTCATGAACTCATATACATTCTCTACGTTTTCAGCTCTCATAAACATAGAATGAGTACCGAGAAGGCTTACATCGGCGTCAAATGCTTTCCGAAGAATGTACTTCTCCACGTCGCGTCCATTCATAGCATGTGGACGCTTGAAACGCGGTGCAGTTAAGATCGCAACGTCCAGAAATTCCTGAAAGTTTGCTTTAAAGTATGCAAAAGCTGTCTAAAATAGTCTGCAAACCTTGTCCAGGAACGGGACTCGAACTTCTACAGAATGTGCCATGGTGGACTTATCAGCACGAAGACAATCAGCTGTATAGAGATGTATGACGCGGTCAACGGTCTCCTTGAGAAAAATCATAAAAATTTATTTGGATGACTTGGATTAAACAGTGAAAACGGGAACCTTCTGGAATTCCTCATCGCTTGGGGCATTGTGGAAATAGAGATAACC